GAGAGTTATCATTTAGGGTTTTTTTTTTTTTTTTTAATAGGACTACTGTATTTTTCCATTTCTCGCATATTGCTATTGATAAGTAAGATAAAATTAACCATTTATCCTAATATCATTTTAAAATAATATTAAACTCAGGAATTTAGAACAAATAAAAGAAAATTCTTAAAATATAAAATTATTTATTATATTCTATTTATATAAAATGTGCTAAAAATGTTTAACGTGTATAATTTGTATATTCTATATATTTTTTATTATATTTTCAATTCTAAAAGAGACATTTAGACTCTAATCCTCATCTGATACTGCGCAGGATTGTGCTCTTGTATAGGATTAAACCGAGAAACGCTGTAAGACATCTCTTCATATCGGTTTCCAATCTTAAATTCGACTTTTTTACAATGTAAACGCATGTACTGTAGGATTGCCCAGTTTTCTCGCGGAATGGGTTGTTTGTTCAGCTCGACTTTGCTATAGTATCCGTATCGCATACTATGATCATTGTCCTTGATAACTTTAAGATGCGAAGCAATGCCGTTTCGCTTTATTTAAACTTCATTGAAGTCTAAAGTTAAACTTCAGGCTGTTATTTAGTCGGCCAAATTACATTATGCGGCCTAATATTTTAATATTAAAGTTATGTAACTTTTCACATAATTTCCTACATTTTTTATTTGCCAAACGATCAATCATACATGTACCTAAAACTTCGCGAATGAATATTTATATCTATCCTAAATTATTACACAAGTTGCCCATGGAAGAAAATATAACAGAGAAGTACGAGAACTTTGTAGGAAGTATAATAATTTTATTAAAAAAGCCTAGCAAATTCTATGACGTAATAACACATCTCACAAATATATAGTGATCGATATAATCTTCGATAACTATAGTTACTTAACCGTTACTTAACTGTTTTTTGGAATCAGGTTTAAAAAATGCTTGATTAAAACGAACTTTAATTAAATAAATTATTAAATAATTATTAAATATTAAATATTAAATTAATTTTTGATCAATAATTGTAAGGAAAAAAATAAAAAAACGCGCATAAAAAAATTGTAAAAACGGAAAACAATTTTATCTTCTAAACTTTTCAAAATTTAAGATAAAATATATAGTTTGTCTGAAGCTGGTGTATCATTTTGTGGAAATTTTTAAATAATTAAGATTTGACTTTATTTTCAATAATTCTATAGTTCTTAATAATTTAAACAAGTTCTAACCGTTAAAACAAAAAAGCCAAAAAGAAAAACTAAAACGTTCACGTTGTTTTGCGAAAATTTCCTCATTTTTTGTCAGATTTTACAATATATAGTTTTATATAAGTTCTATACAGAATCCTAATTTTTAAAAACAAAACACATCGATTAATATAAAATAGTACCAAGCAAATGCTAATATTATATGTACAAACATCGCTGATCAATTTCCAAGATCTTTGTTTATTTCAAAACAGTTCTCGTATAGTTCTAAATATATTCTAAAAAATATATTCTAAATATATTCTAATATTAAATTTAAATGCTCAAAACATATAAAAATAAAAAAATTGTTTTATAATAATCAAAGCTCTTAAAAATAGAACAACGTCTCAGTTTTGTACCTACCGATGACATTCTAGGGCAAAAAGAAATTTTTTAAAACATATTTTAATACTGCTATTGCTTAAAATCTTTTAGAAAATGCAAGGAAATGGTCAATATTATACGAGAACAATTTTAGAATAAACAGAACTCTTGAAGATCGATCAGCATTTCACTGGGATGCTAGTACATGTGGGCGTTTGCTCGTTATTTTATCTTAATCGATACGTTTTTTTGTTTTTAAAAGAACTTTTTCTGAAACTCACATAAAACTATAAATTTTTGAAACTCTGACAAAAAATGATAAGACCAAACACAATCTTGTAGAACTAAGTGAGACGCGATGTCGAATACAGTTTTTGGGTTCAAGGCCGGCACGTTTTGTCTTCTCACGATTATTGAAGCTTAAATATACATCGAAACGTTGACCTTTTTCTCCTGCTCCACACTTAGCTTCTGATAAATTTAACAACGCTGCTGGAAAATTCAATAGCTTGTACACACATAAATGCGAACTGTATAAGTTACTTATACTAACAAAAATGAACATTACCAAAGCGATATAAAATCATATTATAAATCGATTATATGAATTATATAAAATTTGTCGAAGATTAGACCTTTTTCTTTATTATTTTTGGTAGCAAATTTATATATCCGTTGTCATCAAAAGTCTCTGATTAATTAAATAAAATTTACAAATTAATTAATATCATACAAATTTTCATTTTTTAGATACAAGAAAATATGATAAAATTATTTAATGACAAAGTAATACTGAAAGCAACATTTTTCATGGAAAAACGCAATACTCATTTCAACAAGAAATAATGTCAATTATCGAAACTATGTTATTAGTAAAGATATATTAATATTTATTTATTAAATAAATATTAATATATCTTTACACAAAGCTAATCCCGATAAACGTTGTTCAGCAACGTAATAAGCAAGAAAAAAATAATTACATATAAATTAGAAATATACCGCGTAGTGACCTCTATCGCGTCGACGCGTATATAGATAATGAAACAAGTCAATTAACATTCTCTGCTTTATCGACAGGATGAGTCCCGGGTCAACGACCGCGATATTAAGAAGTGTCTGACCTATTTATCACAAATGTATATATCCAGCTTGCCCATACATGTGTATGTGTGCGTGTGTCTGTGTGTGTGTGCGCGTTACGCGCTCTTTCTCCTGTATTTCAACCAACGGCAATCTTTAAGAATCTCGATGATCGTGCTCTTTCGTGGGATTACTCTCGAAATAAATTTCTTCTTTCTTATCTAGATTCTAGATTATCCATTTCTTTTTTTTTCCTCTGCAAAATTTTTGCGCTTTTTACAGAGAATAAAACTTTTCATTTATA